ACTATTTTGCTGAAAGTGAATAGCTGTTGGATTCATGCAGAAAACACAAATCTAACTGAGTCTGATGATGAAATAGTTTTATAAATATATAAATAAATATATATATATATATATATTTATAGTGTGGAAGTTAAGGCTGTTTAGGCTTTACTTGCTGGTTTTTTATAGTGATTTTTTTGTTAATTGACACTAGTGATGGGCAATATTGTGATAGATGATAGACTCAAGGATGAGAGTAGGCTGGCTATTAGATGAGTGATCGCCCTTTGAATATTTTGATAGCAATGCAAGTTTTGGATTTCCTTATGACTTTGTGGCTCATTTTTTATAATTGAAAGGTGGAGCTGAACGATTGATTGTTGATGCCGCTGTTGAACTAGCATCCCATGGGCATAATGTCCACATTTTCACAGCTCATCATGACAAAAATCGTTGTTTTGAGGAAACTCGTGCTGGTGAGCTATTATTTTCTTTGTATTATTGTATTCATTCTAGGAGCTAATTTATGGAGATAGGAGTTACTTTTTTCCATTAAGTCCAATGTGAAGTTGATTGAATTAAGTTACCTTTTGTGCTCATAAATTGAAGTGGAAATGATGGACACTAATTTCATTTTATCACAACCTTTTTGTTAACACTAAGTCAATGTTGCTTTAGTTGCTGAAAATTCAAGTTGGATGACATGAATTGTTTTGAAGTTTTCTAGCTGCTGAACAAAATCTTTACAGCATTCATTATTTATATGACACACCAAATCCTAGATAGCAGCTCTTGTCATATGTATCTAGCTTCTGCATCACCATTGGTAGATGAGAATAGTTCTCTTTACTTCAAGAAAAGGTGGGCAGAGGAGACGAATTCCTCCCTTTCCTTCCTTTCATCTTCTTCTTTTAATAGATTGGAGAAGTATCAGGAGAATGCATATCCTTTCAGATGGGGAAACTATCTGGAACCATACTTTTGCTTGGCCTTGCAGGCAGCTTCATCTTGTAGCCTAACTAAAATTAGACTATATCTTGTATGCTTACAGGTACATTTCCAGTTACAGTATATGGTGATTTCCTGCCACGGCATATTTTCTACCGTCTTCATGCTGTATGTGCATATCTACGCTGCATATTTGTTGCTCTTTGTGTGCTGTTGATGTGGTCATCATTTGATGTTATACTAGCAGACCAAGTCTCTGTTGTCATCCCTTTGTTGAAACTTAAGAGGTCTATGAAGGTAGATTGATGTAACTTATATGAACTGCTATCTGGAAGTCTTGGCATTGTGGTTCTCTTATGAACTGTGGTTTTTCATGCAGGTTGTATTTTATTGTCACTTTCCAGATATGTTGCTGGCTCAACATACAACTCTTTTGAGGAGGTTATACAGGAAACCCCTTGATTTCTTAGAAGAGCTAACAACAGGTTTCATTCATCCACATTAATTTTTTTCTTAAGTAATTTAATTTCATAAATTTGGTTTTGATTTGCTGTGGTAGACATAATAATTGGTATTCTGGAACTGCAGGAATGGCAGATATGATACTTGTTAATAGCAGATTTACTGCATCAACCTTTGCAAATACATTTAGGCATCTTCATGCAAAAGGAATTCGACCATCTGTTCTGTACCCAGCAGTTAATGTGGATCAGTTTGGCAAACCCAATTCTTATATGTAACCAACATCCTTGTACATATCTCTTGGTCTCTTTTAATTCTGTTCATTTATTTTAACATCCCATCTGCAATTTCTTAGTCCATGTTTTTTTCGAGCGTCAATAAGCCAATGGTCTGAGTTAATCATCTTGTTTTGGCTAGGTTAAATTTTCTCTCCATCAACCGCTTTGAAAGGAAAAAGAACATAAATTTAGCAGTTTCAGCTTTTGCAAAGCTTCAGAAGCTCAAAGGAGGTGTTCTTAAAAATTGTAGTGTGGCTGATGCTACCTTGACAATTGCAGGTAAGTCGTTATTTGTTTTGTCCATAGACATTGTTGCTGAACAATTTTCTTATGCTACAGCATTACAGAGATTCTCTTATTTGGGAGCATAACATGTTCATTGGTCTGTTTTTGTAGCAAAACTAGAACCAGGAACAGGGAAATGTAGTTTGTATTTGTAATGTGCCTGCAGTCCATTTTTTAATTAAACTTCTTTTTATCACCTAAGTGCAATGCCTCCTCTAATATGGTATATGATCAAAGATTGGGGTTCAATAATGTAAAGTGCAACTATCAGAATGGGTTATATTCTAAATCTAGCTATGATGCTTTCTTGGTTTGTGCCCTTACTTCCATTAACCAGACACAATGATATATTGTTGGGGCTTTTATTGGTGGTTGTAGCTTTCGTATGAAGATCAGCCAATGTGCTTATTACTCTTTATCACGTGATGAAAATGTGAGAGCATGATTATGATTATTGTTATTTTATGAAAAATTGAAGGTTTCAGTTCTTTCTCCACTGTGAAACAATTTGTGCCTTTCTATTTTCAGGTGGATATGATAAACGCCTTAGGGAGAATGTTGAGTATTTGGAAGAGCTCAAAAGCTTAGCAGAGAGAGAAGGAGTGGCCAATTCTATTAATTTCATCACCTCTTGCTCAACAGCAGAAAGGAATTCTCTTCTCTCTCAATGCCTTTGTGTCCTTTATACTCCAAAGGTGTGTTAGAATCTATTTTTCTCAAGAGCTTGGTTAGATTTGGAAAAGAGTAGGTTTTGAAACAAAGTTTTGAAATCACTGTAGGATGAGCACTTTGGCATTGTCCCATTAGAGGCCATGGCAGCTCATAAACCTGTTATTGCATGCAACAGCGGGGGCCCTGTGGAAACTGTCAAGAATGAGGTCGCAGGATTTCTTTGTGACCCTACAGCAGAGGACTTTGCTTTGGCTATGGCTAAATTCATTCAAGATCCTGAGATGGCTAAGAGAATGGGTGAAGATGCTAGGCAGCATGTTATTGATTCATTTTCTACCAAGACTTTTGGGCAGCATTTGAATCAAATTCTTCTCGATGTTGTTAAGAGTAAGGAGGACTAAAAACAGTGAATCGAAGCTAAAGGCAGGCTTTTAGGAGAAAATTTCGGAGATTTGAGATATTAGCATAATTATTTTACCAGTTGCCATTAGAAATACTTTTCTTTGAGTTCTAGAGAAGATTGTATCCAGGAGACATACATGATACATTTATCACTTAGGGCAATGAAGATTCAATGCCTTTGTAAGATAGTTACTGCTAGGAAAATTATACTCTCATTGTTGAAGTATAAGGTTTTGTTGATTTGTTTTACGGTACTCTTTTAACAACAATGATTCATTGAGAATCTTTCGTTACACAACAGTCACATTATATCATATCAAATACATGTATACTATTCTACCAAAAAAAAAAAAAATACATGTATACTAATTTACACATCGTGCTAAGTGTTTGCTGTCGAGCTCCCCACCGTTTTTGTTTCTCCTCGGTGTTGTCCGAGTTTCTTCTATTCTCACACCAGGGCCGTCCTGCAGGTGCTGTCAAGCATTCTCAAATCGTCTCCCTCGTTCATTTCCTGCAACATTTTCTTTGTCTATCCACTCTAATTCGTCGTCATTTTGTTTTCTACTCCCATTTCGCCATACTTAGCACTACTTAGAGAGAGTTTTCCAGAGCCTCACTTCAAAAAAATTCCAAGGCCAAAATGGATGATGGGGAGCGAGAGGAAGCTGTAACCAGATCAGTAGATAACATCAAAGTTTTTGGGAGATAAATACCGATCAATCTTGAGCGAAGAAGCACGCAACACAGAGTGGAGACATGGCGGTCCTCCTATCTTTGACAAGGTGAACAAACTCTTCAATGAATGGAGAACAAAGGTGGCTATCTTTTTCTTTGAAACTTCTTTAACCTTTGTTGTTGCTTGTTCTATGCTTACCTTGTAACTTGGGTTTGAAGGAATGGCCTAGGGGATCAATAGAAGAAGCAGTACAAATTGCTATGAAGTCATGGGAGTTGGAGCTATCTCACAAGACACGCTTACAAGATTTCAAAACTATAAATCCTGAAAAATTCAAGCTCATCGTCAATGATACAGTATGTATAGACTAGGGGTACTGTTATTTCTGCTGCCCAATTTGTTTTTTTAGGAAAAACCCTAAATCCCATTGGTAATA